CCAATCCCGATGGTAAACACCGGGGGGGGCGGCTTGTTTTACAACGTCGTTGCCAAGCGACGAAAACCCAACCCCGATGGCAATCACCGGGGCGGGCGGGCTCCTCAGGGGGGGGAGTGTTATTTTAATTCCCCTACCAACCGACAGTCCAAATGGGGCAGATATGTCCCAATCGAAATTCCTGGAATTTGTGGCACTAATCACAGGTTGAAACTGTGAGCTAATTGATTTAGACGGTTGATTCACCCCACACATGGCGAATAGTAGTTACGACCGTACCATCTGGTGTCCCCATTACGACGACCAAAATACCTAATCAGGTTTTTCTACGCAAGCAAACACACTGAATAATGTATAGAATCGGCTAGGTTAGGGTTAGGGTCTGCGTGCCCCCTGTCCGGTATTATTTCGTATTTGTCTTACTTGGTAGTCCGTTCAGATGTTCCAGTGTTCACCTCCCCTTTTCTCTGTGTCTTTGCCGGTGGGTTGTGCGACATGAACGCAGTACTGCTACAACGCCGCCATCTCGGCCTGCGGCAAGTCCGGCCAGTGGCGTGAGGCCAAGGAGTTGCTCTCCACCATGCGCGATAGAGGGGTCCCGCCGGATCTCATCAGCTACAACTCGGCCATCGATGCTTGTGGAAAGGGCGGAAGGTGGGACGAAATGGACGCTCGTTTTTTTTTTTTTGTGGTGTTCATCCCACGATGTATGGCTTGTCGTAGTTGTTCTGAAAATGTGGTACTGTAGGACTCTTGGACTCTTGTGGACTCTTGCGTTTTTTTTTCAGATTCTTACGGTTATTTCCAGCATTTTGCAGGGCGTTTGCGTTTATCCGGTGATGGCTCGGGATTGGCCCGCCAACGCGGCGCACGTGCCGATCCGATTCGCGCGAGAGCAACGCGGAGCACGGATGATGCTACAGCAGTAGATTATGACAGACGGCGTGGCTTTCGTTCGTTAGAGGCTTTGGTTCGTTAGAGGCTGCAGCCGCGGTCGAGACGCGGGCCCGAAGGTTTTGGTTACCAATGAACACCGTCGAAACGCATTTGTTTGATTTCGGGCCGGTGACCAATGCTTGGTGAACGGAACAAGTGCGTTTGCAATACGTACCGGTATCTTAAAGGAATGGGTGCTATCAGAGTTCTAGCGAATGCTCACCCGTCGGAAAGGCAAACAGCATGCCATTGTTATGACCTTGTTTTTTTTTACTTGGACTCACGAGACGACGAACAGGCCGGTCGGGGATGTACGTACTGTATATAGTCTTCGTCCTTTGTTTCTGGTGGCTGCCGCATAGCGAGTAGCAAGACTTATCTGTCTGTTGCCAGAGAGATATCTAAGTGTTCCCATGTTCCTATTCCGTGTTATACTCACGCGGTCTATCGCTGTTTTTTGTTTTTTTTCAGGTGGGAGGAAGGTCTGAAAATTTTCGTTGGCATGGTGAAGGCTGCGGAGGAACCGTGGGATGCGGACGTGGGCCACCCCAAACCCCCCACCCCCGACGCTACGACTTACGGTGCCGCCATCACCGCCTGCAGTCGGGGCAAGCAGTGGCAGATGGCCCTTCGATTCTTGGAAGACATGGAAAAGAAGGTGAGGAATGATTCACTGCCGTTACCGAGAGAAGAACGGGTTTGTTATGGACCGAAAGCAGGGGAATAGGCTAGATGTTGTTGGCCGAAAGTATTGCAGAGGAGGAGGCGACACAGGAGGTTCCTGGTTCGCGTATGGACGAGCAGAGGAAGGCACGACATGGGTCAGAGTTAACGGTTTCAAGACCTGGAGAAAGCGCAACGCTGAGCAAGGTTTTGACTGTTGTTGTTGAGCACTCGGATTTAAGGTTGTGAAGAGCAAATGGAACGGAGAAGGTCGTGAGTTGCAAACGCGACGCGACAATGAGGCAGAAATTGTCGCAGGGGTTCTCTTGCTTTGGCAGTGTAACAGGACATTGCAAAACACTGTGAGACAGTTAGAAAACTGTGAGACAACGTCGAACGCTGACAGAGACCTTGCGGAGACTACTTGTTTTCCCCCGGTTTGGGATCTATCGCATGCGACTGTGCCTTAGGATCGCTCGATGGTGATCAATCCGATGCACCATGACTGTCAAATTTACGACATTTTTCTGCATATGACACGACGTGTTGATGGTGGTCCCGTGTCTTGGTTGGCCGATTCTGTGTGAAGGAGCACAACCGGTAGAGGTACTGTATGGGGGTAAGGGAGGTAAATTCGGGATAGTTCTACAATTGTCCTTCCCAAAAGTGGTGCCGTCAAAAGTCAAATCTTCGATTGAACTGTTTGATCAGGCATCAACAGCTTCTTGGATTTGAGAAAAGAGTTGCATGTATATCTTCGGAGGGGACTAGAGTTGGGGGGTGCTACTGTTAGCACAAATAGGGGGTATCTCGTGTAGGGTAGGGTGTGGGATGTCCGGAAGGTATAGCTCGAAGTACCCATACCACATCAGGACTATCAGCGTGCCTCCTAGTGGGAAGGTGTGCACCTTTCGGCTCAGGCCTTTCTCTCTGACAAGTCCAAGCAACACGGTAAAGTGCCGGCGAATCTGTTGAATCTGTCGGGCGCATACCGGCACTAGTGAGGGACTCGAACTGTACTCGTTTCGTGTGTTTGTGCAGGGCGTGGAGAGAACCGAAGGGGCTTTCCAGGCTACGCTCGCCGGGTGCGCTAGGATGGGGAGGTGGAGGGAGTGCATCGTGACGCTGGACCAGATGCGCAAGAGCGGCCTTCAGCCACGGGCGGCGGCGTACAACTCGGTCATCACGGCCTGTGGGCGGGGCGGGGAGTGGCAGCGGGCGATCGCTATTCTGAAGCAGATGTCGTCGAGGGGGGCCACGCCGGATGTGATCACCCTCAACGCGGTCATGACTTCTTGCGCTCAGGTACCGACCCAAGATAGCCCCTCCCCCCCCCTCCCCCCCAGAGACGCGAGGAAGCTGACCTGGCAGTATCGCATGTGCGGGATGGGAGAGGAGAGGTTGCCGAGAATTGTATGGGAGGCGAAGTGGGCAAACAAAAAGAGGGGTAGACAACCCACGGAATGGGTCAAGGTTGTAGAGGACGTATGGAAGGGGCTCGACATCGACGAAGATGAAACGCTGGAAACGGAGGGTCTACAGGGGT